CATCCCAGGACATGGAAATTTCCAGCCATTCTTTCTCTTTTTTTGTGTGCTGAAGTTCCCTGTGCCTCTCCCCAGCTCCAAGGCAAACTTATGCAGGTGGAAAGTCTGAAGACACTTCCTCCAGGCCAGGCTGAAGTCATCCAAACAGCGAAAAAAAAAAAATAATCTCTTCTTGCCTGCACGATCTCAGAGGGCTGCCAGGACTTCCCCATCTTATGCCAAGGCTGTACGTGTGTGACCCCTGGGGCAGCCAGCAACTTCTGAGGCATCCAAAAGGAGCCTGTGCAGAGCTGCCTGCCCTTAGAGGGGCACCAAGCCCTCCCCACTCACCAAACTCCTGAGCACACACAGAAGAAGAGCCAAGAGGCCAGGCACAGGGACCTGGACCCAGCAGGTTCCCTTCTCCCTCTGACCAGCCCCATGTTAGGACTCATTTTCTTCTCTGCCTCACAGTGGTGGTGTACTAGGGAGCAACCCAGCATGGATTTGAACTTCCCTGGCAATCAGGAAAAGAGCTTTCAAAGCCCCTGTGGAAAAACCAAGAGCATCCCTCCTCGTTAACTACAGCCATCCCGCTGCTGGGCAGCCAGCAACAACTCAGCCCAGCCGAGCAGGGGGCTCCCAGCACAACCAGCAACCAGGTGCGCTCTCTGCATCAGAATTCTCTAATCTTTAACCCTTTTCCTAAAACTGTGGCTCTCCAACCCTCTGCTTCTTTTTCCTTCTTGCACAGTGGTTTCCCCTTGCTGTCACACGTTGAGCGCTCCCCCCGGGGTCAATGCTGGGATCCAGGGGGACACCAAGCAAGCAGCCTGAATGGGGACAACCTCCATTCCCCTGCGTGGGGACCATCGCCAGCACAGGGCTACACAAGATGGAGGGGTTACAGCTGGCACACGCCGGTGAACTAGAATAGAAGCAGCTCTTGGGCCCACAAGATGAGCCTTGGCGCTCAGCGCCTACCCAGGCAGGCAGGGCTCGGTAGGGAAAGGCCCCTTTGCTACCATCCCACGGAGGAGAGCTCAGAGCATCGGTTCCCGCGGGGCCCCGGTTTTACTCAATTAACTGTCCCCAAGCCCTTGTGAAGGCATCTCAGCCCACGAGTCACTGGCACGTGATTTCTTATCAGCAGACGGGGCAGCACTTGTCTCTGGTGGAAGGAGGAAGTCAGGCTTCCTCCCCTCCCTCCCCGAAACACGCACTCAACCAAAACCCACTCAGTCCCACTTTCCATCTTGAAGGAGGCCGAGATCTCCCTCCCGTGATTGAGCTGGGGACCCCTGACCTTCACCCCCGCAGAGGACCTGTGCTGCTTTGCATCCGGAGCCCCGTGCAGAAGATGGCCACCCTCCTGCAGAGGCACAACCCCCAGCCTTTCGCAGAGGGCCCAGAGCAAGACTCCATGCACTCTACCCAGCTGCCCAAGGGGCCCATCACCGTGGCATCAGGTACCGACAGCCTAAACTGCATGTGGCCCAAGGACCAGCACGGGCAGGAAGGGAAATGAGTTTTTAAGTTTAAGACAGAATATATAGTCTTAGAGGAAGCTCAGCCTAACTTCTCACACTGATGAATCAACTCTGCCTCTCCACAGCTGGCAGAGGTGGCCATACGCCCAAGCTAACAGGGAGGGTTTTCCCTTGTGCTGGAACGCAGCAGGGGATCCCATCACACCCCATCCCACCCTGAAGGAGCTGGTTCCTCACCTACCCCTTTCCCAGGACACTGGACTCAAGAATCTGCCTGGCGAGGGCAGAAAGAGGGGGTTTCCTCAGCGAGTCCTAACAAAGGTTGAGCTCGTCCAGAGGCCGGGGTATGGCGATAAAGCTGCCTGCAGCCTGCTCAGAGCTAGCCATGCCTGCAGCTGGAAAGCCCCTCTCTTCACTTCCATGCACAGCAGTCCCACAGGGACTCAATTCAGCAGAAAAGGAGCTGGTTTACATGGAAGAGCCGGATGCTTGGGGACCATTTGATTCACAAGGAAAAGACAGATGCTTGGAGAAGACTGCTTGAGCTTCCATTCCACCCTGCCACGGAATAAGCAGGAGAAGTACCACTGCCCTAAGTGCACCCATCATCTTCTCCCTGTTCCTCATCCTTGATCTCTCCTGCCACGCCAGCTCTGCTCTCTCTCTCAAGGACTGATGTGCTGTAGCCCAGACACTGCAGCTCTGACTTCCCTGAGGCAGAGGGACCGCCGATGGGGAGGAGAGGGTGTGTGGGGGTGTGTGTGAAAACGGACAACTGAGACTTTTGCAAATGATTCTTGGAAGAAGGCACCCACACATTTCACTGGCCATCACACCCACATCTCCCCTGTTGGCCAATTTCCTTCCTCCAGAAGCAGGACCCCTTCTAATTTTGAGCACAGGAAGAGCCAGTTTTAGCCTCATTGCTTCACCCTGCCTGGGCTAATGCTTCTCTCCTGCGGAGGCAGGCAGGAACGAATCCAGGGAAGATCCTGCTGACGCTCCAACTGGCCAAGCACGTGCTCCTCGCCTCTGTCTCCACCTCATACACTTCCCCCACAAGCGGGAGGCTGACCAACAGAGCCCCCTCCCAGGGAAACTTCGCGGTGACATGGGTGGGCAAGCCCAGGGGAGCCATGGATGGACAGCCAAGGCTTCTGCCAGCTCCCTTTGTGTGAGCCCAGTGCTCCTCTCCACTCGGTACCAGCCAGGGCGGCTGGGGAAACAGGAACTTCTCGGCCAAAACCCCTGAACTTTTTGTATTTTCAGAATTACAATTACAGGAAAGTGTTGTTGCCCACGTCTTCTGAAATGTAATGATAGTACGATTTTAATTCTCGGCCTGGAGATGTTTTGTGGCAGACATTCAAGCAAGGCACACAAGGAAATGTGCAGCTGACAGAGATGAAAAGAAGCCGATGGGTTTGTCTGGCGGGATGAAAGGGATGCAGCCTGTGGCCACTTGATCTCTTTTCTCTGGGGGACCTCGTGTCACCAGATGAGCAAATGCTCCTTAGACTCAAGCAGTACCGGTGGCGGTTCAATGAGTCGCTGGGTGCTCTTGAAGTCCCCATTTGCATCGACCGGAGTGGTGGATGTTCAGCATTTCTAAATATAAACGCCGCCTACCTCTGCCGCAGGGTCAGGAGGAGAGACAGGAATAGCAGAGGCAGAAATTCACAGCCTCGCCGCTCTAACCACAAGAATAGTGTTATTTTCCCCAGCGCTGGGAGCGGATCCCAGGAAAGCCAGCTCCTGCGCAGACATGGCCAGCTCGGAGCTGTACGAGCTGCACCGCCGGCAAACTTCTAGCTCCCTCCCTCCCTCTGTACAGATTTCCTGTTCCGAATTGCTCTGTGAGCGAGAGAAAACAGAAGAGCGACTGCAACCATTTGGAGAGCTCTCTGAGAACCTCTCCTGCCTTCCGTAACCAAGGCACCACCAATTAATGTTTCCCTAGTTAATGAGATGCTTGCGTTAGGCTCTGGCTAAGCGAGTCTGACAAGCAAAGGGCTCAGCCACCTTACAAAACAGCCCCAAGCAGCAAATGCATCTCCAACCAGCTGCATCCTAAAGAAGAGCAAGCAGCGAGCCGTGGGCACTCCACAGCGGGCTAACCCAGGGGGGTTTTTTTGAGGCATTACTTTCACAGCTCTGCTAAAAAGACCCCTGTGTCTCTCTGCGGGTACCCTGGCTCTAGCGTTATGGCTGGGAAAGGTGGTGAAGCTCCTCCATGCTGTTGAGCCCCAGAGCCAGCCTGTAGATAGGACAGGACTAGAAAGCAGCATCCAGGCGCCCGGCTGGGGAGCGTGGGAGGCTGGGTTTAGTCTAACCTTGCTTGCTGTGAGACTTCCAGCCAATCCTCAGAGCAGATCCCACAGTAAGCATTAATGAAGTAATTAGCAGATGCACAGGCGCCTAACCAGGAAGTAAACACTGGGGCTGGCTCCCAGCTCATCTTCAGCCTCAGAACCAGATGTGTGCTGCCAGGCGAGGACAGAGCCCCCTTGCTGCTCCCACTACTGAGGATACGTGCTCGCTCGTCTCAGTGCCTCTTAGTTTCTCTTCCTCTCGCACCATTACCCAGTATTAAACTCCAGCCCAGGTTTGGGGCAAAGCTTTGCCCTTCTCAGCTGCGAGCACACTTCGCTCGTGTTCTGTGTGTGCACTCATGATGAAAACCTTCCGTTGAGGGAATGTATGACAGGAAAGAGCCGTGATTAGCTGAAGGCAGTTACCAGAAGCCAAACCAAATACCTCAAGTGTGATGCCTCTGCCTTTGAGAGGGCATTACGGATGTGGGAAGCCCCCCCTCATTAAGAGAAACACTCTTCTCTGTCACAGAGGCTCGGGAGGGCAGCCCTGTAGCGGGGAGTGCATTACAGCTGTGATGAAAACCGCGGCTGCGCAGGCGGGTTGGCAAACCGAGGAGATTTCCACCTGAGAACAAATAGTTCTTGGGTTGCTTGGTCTGTGGCCCTGACACGGCCATCTCAAGGTCTTGCTCTGCACAGCCAGTCTCGTTTTGGGTCTTGCTTACACACCATCTCATGCAGCCAAGCCTTCCCCATTGGGGAGGAAACATTGCATTCTCTGTGGAGGAGTCAGCAGGGGGGCTTGACTTGCTCCCACACCACCTTCCAGTTGCTAGCGGCCCCAAAGCAAGTACAAGTTGGCTTCCTACAGAGAGTCTGCTCTGTGCCATGTTGCCGGGGGTGCCTCTCCCTGCTCACTCTGCTGGACCTGGCTCGGGTACCCCACTGCTCACCCACCCAAACCCACTGCCGGTGCCAGGCATCCGTGCACAGCGCCAGGCGGGAGACTCTCAGGACCTGGGCTCCGGGAGCCCTTCACGGCCCGGCTGAATGAGCGCTCGCTGGGAGAGGGCTGGGGACCGCTGCAGATAAAGCCCGGCTTATCTCCAGGCACCGGCCGGCAGCGAGGGGCCAAGCCCGGGGCTGGGGCGGGTGGTCCCGGCGCTCGCAAGCATCCCCCGGGGAGGGAAGGAGGGAAGGAGCCGCGGTCACTTACGTGTCCCCGTCCTCCGAAACGTAGGTGAGCGCCTCCAGCTGCTGCCGGCTGAGCCCCTCGGGCGACGGCGGCGGCTCCTCGGCGCGGCAGGCGGCCGGCAGCCCGGCCAGAGGCTCGGGTCAGCGGCGGGAGGGGGGATCTCGGCGGCGGGGGCGGGGGTCTCCCTCCCGCCCGGCAGCGAGCGCAGCGACTCGATGCCCGAGTCGCACTGCCCGTCCTCCCCGTCCCAGCCCGCCGCATCCTTGCGGCACTCGCCGCCCGCCGCCCGCGACATGGCTCAGCGCCCGCCGCCCGCCCGCCCCGGCCCTGGCCACCACCCCGACCCCGGCCCCGCCGCCGGGGGGCTCATGGCCCGGAAAGCCAGCCAGCGGCGGCCGGCGCGGAGGCTAAGGCGGCGCGGCTCCTCCTCCTGCCCCTGCCCGCACTGACTCAGCGGCGCCCGGCCCCGCCTGCCCGGGATTCCCCCCGCCGCCGCCGCCGCCCCGGCACC